GAGATGGAGGAGGTTCCAGGTCCTGGGCCATGACCTGAAACTACACCCTGCTGGGGTTGGATGGGGGTGGGGCTCCCTGTGGTGGGGCAGTCCCCAGGAAATGCCACACCTGTGCCTCCCCAGTTAAAGGTGAGGATGAGGCACTGGAAAACCTCAGCCCCCACGATCTGGTGGGTTACCCCAGAGAGGGGACAGGTTTGTGGTCCAGGCATGTCATCAGACCCCTGAGGCCCAAGGGACATAAGGCCCAGAAGCCCCAGTGAGGGGGTGGAGTAGTGGCCCTAATAAGGAGGCAAAGTATTGGCCAGGGCTGGAGTCAGCCCAGAGTGTGGGCAGTAGACCTGGTGCCCTGTCATAGAGTAGGGCCTGAATTGGGTGGACTGAAGTTCTGCAAGGGGTCAGGACCATGAGTGCTAGAGATGAAGCCTGAAGGCTGTATGGAGTAGAGCCAAGGGAGTCTGAAAGGCCATACAGAGAAGGGCAGTGTGATTGAGGCCTAATGAGGGGCAGTGTGACTGAGGTCTAGCAATAGAGCTACATTCGCTCTGCCCCACTTGGGGCAGTATGAAAAAGGTCCAGCATAGGGGCAGAGTTTGACTCTGGAAAGGACTATATAAGAGTCAACTGATGATGCCATCTGTGAGGCATGGGACATGGTGTAGGGGCAGTACAGAGCCATGTATTGTGTCTCTGGCACCGGGGCATTAAATGGGCATCCTTCCACCTGGGAACAACTTTTTTTTTAGTTACAACAAAAGCGTGGCAGATTGGAGTTAGGCGGGAGGATTGCCCTAGACAGGTAGGGAGGCCAATGATTGGACTGGCTTCGAGATGGCCCCCTCTCACAAGGACACTAAAGCCTGATTTATGATTTTTAAAAAATTGACACTAAGCTTTCTCTTTAACAAACATGAACATCTCAAACCGATTGCATCTCAGTTGAGTTTTGTCCTCTCTCTACTTGACCTTCTTGTTATCTAGGTCTCTTTTCCCTGGGACCGGTTTCCCCTTTAAATCTCTCAACTAGTTTTTTTTCTTCTCCCCTTTTTCTCCTTTCTCTCATCCAGCTCTCACCTCCATGCAGCTCTCTCCCCTTACAACTTCCAAGTTAGACATCCTCTTTTCTCCGGCTCCTCTCTTTCACTTGGCCCGAACCCTTTCTGTTCTTCATGTTCTGCCTTCCAGATTCTATTCCCTTCCCCGGCCCATAACTTGCCCTCTTTCCCAAAGCTTCTCCTCTCTTCTCACCACTGTTCTGCATGGGAATTCTACATCTCTTGCCTGCTCTCTCTATTTATTTTAAAAGGAGAACTTGGGAACAAAAATTCATAAACTGACTGGGCACTAAAGACCAAGGTCTAAACACTGATAGCAGCCTTATGGCACATTTATATTTTACCCAACTCCTGAATTCTTTCCAAGCAGGAAAGGTCAAAATGACCCTCCTCCCTTTTGATAGGCCTCGATCTCCCAGTTACCAGCTTCTTTTCTTCTTCTAATTATGGCATCAGGGCATTAAATGGGCAGCTACCTCTGAGAATTTCTCTTGCCCCTTCCCCTCTGCTGTGTATCAATATGCTGTGCCTGGTTCCTACCATCAGAGACCTGACAAAAAATGTGTTGCATTTGAAAGCTTGTCTAACTTTTATCCCAACTACATAGCTGGTCCAATAAAAGATATCACCATAATAAATGTTTGCCTCTTCATAATTACTGGGCCATCACAGCTACAGCACCACTTTTACACTACTTTATTTCTCTCTCATCCTCCTCCAGTTCCATCCGTCTATTCCCTACTGCCTTTTTATCTATTTTTCCTAGACCCAGCAGCCTCCCCCAGTTATTGTCTACCTCAATTTCCCTCCCAAATACATTCTGTGGTCCCTTGGAGCTTCTGATCAGTACAGTGTTGCTGACCATAAGGGTACAAACAGACATTTGGGGAGGTTAGATTGAGTTAAACATTGCCACCTGATCTAAGGTAAGTTGGGATGGGAGGGGGGTTAATGGAGCAGGGGCTGGGGGGAAGCAGGGTCTTCAGGGGGCTTGGAGGGATTGGGGCACTAACAGGGTCCGCAAGGGGTTGGTGGGGTCCAGGAGGGTTTGGCAGGATTAGGGGGGCTAGCAGGTTCTGCAGGGGGTTCTCTCTCCTTTCCCCCCCCGACCAGGAGCTAATTTTAGCCCCCTGACCTCCCTCCACCCCCAGATGAAAAACACCCTTCCCAGCAAACCCGCGCCCCAGTTCCGCTCACCCCTTCTCTCACCCTGACTTCGATCAGCTCCTGGTACCAGTGAATAACAGTAAAACTGGCACCAGGAGTGGCTTGTAGGATGGGGCATTTGGCAGACTAGGTGGGGGGGATAGGATTTGTTCATCTGGGAGAGGGGCAAAGGGCTAAAAATAGCTCAGTGCTGGGAGGGAAGGGGAGCTGTAGGAAAAGTACAGCACAGCAGCTGGGCTTTCCCAGCCCTGGAGATGTGCTGGGATCCGTACAGTAGTCCAGTTAGATCAATCTCACCTGAACTGATTTAAGTTACACTACCTCAGTGGTACACTTAACTTAGATTAGGTTGGCCATTTTAGACCAATCTAAACTTCTTGAGCTTCTGTACAGTTTGTACTTAGATCCCTAGTTAGGTCAATCTAAGTGTAAGGTCTTCATCTGGATGAACTAAGAGTGGGTGTCCATTTTTAATACAAACCTATTCCCCCCTAATCTCCCCAAACATCTGTACCTAGCCTAACTATTCATAACATTCATAAAAAAAATGGGATTTCTTTTAAAAATAATAATGCTGGGCTCTTTTCCCTGGCTTCCTGGTTGTAGTAACCAAATGTTCCTTAGATGGTTAATCTACTGAGCTAATTACATGTAGGCCCTGCTCTCCTGCAATAGGCTTCATGTAAACAGATCACTAACCCCATGTGGAGCTAAACTGAAATGAATCAGTTTTTTGTAAGCACAGAAATATGCTTATACAGAGCTCATAGCAGGATCAGGTCCAAGGAATACGAAATGTAACTATCAAGGATCAGGCGTGAATGGGGATATTGTTAATAAACCAATAAGGAAAAAGGTGGCTAAACTGGTTTGCTAAAAGGTACCTCATGTTGTAGTTAAAGATAATTTTATTTGTGTAGTGACTGAACATGAATGCCATAGGTAGCAGAGTGATGATATATAAGTGGCACTGTAACAGGACTTCATAAGACCTATAGTTTGCAAACATACCAGTAAATTCTGGCTCAAGTATGCTTTGAAAACATTTAAGCTGGCCTTGAAAAATTCTCCTATTGGAGAGTTTTTTACTGTTTTGATTTTTTTATGTGAATGAAATATTCTTTTTCATTATTGTCAACCATCTTTGCAAATGACAGGTGACTAGATGGTATAACTGGGTGTGTATATTTTCATGACAAGTATGCATGACTAGTTTAAGTTGAATTCCACATCTATTTGAAAAAAATCTATTCTGAGAATGCTGAATTGACAAGCTGAGTGTTGCGGGTGTTGCCTTTTTCAGGATGGGATCAGATTATTATGTGCCCTGAAACACACACCTTTTAATTTTCAAATTAATTTGAATGGAGAATGGCAGATCCACATTCCAGAAAGTCATTAGAAATATATGTGTATACACACACAGATCTGTAAATGGGAACTATGTAAAAGTCTTGTTATTCCCAATTATGCATTTGAAAGTGTTTAACCTGGTTTAAAACGAGTCTAGCAATGGGACTCTCACTACTTCCCTAGGGGTTATTCTACACTCCAATAGAGGTGATTGTTAGAGAAGTTTTGCCTTTATTCAGCCTTTTTATTTTCACAATCAATTTCATCGACAGAAGCAAATGAAATCGATTCCCTATGCACTTAAAAAAACACAACCACAAAACAAAAACAACACGAGTGCAGAAATGCAGAGCAGCATTTAAAACCCTGACAGTGATTCTCTAGGGATCATTGAATGATTATACATTCAAGCATAGTCAGCGCTTTCGTAATAGCTGCTGTTCTGATCTAGCTGATAACAAGCCTTATGTTCCCATTCCTGGGTTTCTAGAAGGAATGCCTATTACCCTGCCACTTGGGTACCCTGCCATCCTGACACATTTCACCTTCTCCTGAATAAAGCTCTTCCGGGGAACCAAGACACCCGTATGTCACAGTGACTGGAGCAGAGAGTTATAAATGGATTTGGCAGAAAAAACGTGCAGTGGTTGTGAATCAGAAAGCTCAGCCCGATGCCTTGGAGACACATAGGCAGGGCAATGCAAGAGAGACCTGGCTCTGTTAAAGATAAAATTTAACAAAAGGAGAAAAGGAAAGCAAAAGGCAACATGCTTCATTTAAATGGTGGTATCTCATTCTGTTTCCTCTCCCCACAATTTTTAATGCACATACACACAACCCCATCAGGAAGGCCATCAGTCCCTGGGATGACTTCTTTTCTCAGAAAACATCATCATTCTGTGTGCAGCACTTCCCTGCATATTCCCCAAATCAGCTGTTTCTGTAGTGAGGGACCTCAGAGGGGAGCAAGGTGACAGAGAAGGTAAGAAGAAGAAAAAGGAGAGAGGGGCAGAGCCCTAAATTAACACTTCTCTATGTAAACCAATGTATAAGCTCTCTAAGAAATATTCTCAGCCTCTGACCTAACAGCTGCAGCTAAAAGCCTCTGACTCCTAATAACAGGATGGGTAGTTTAGTATTCCCTGACATTACATTTATATTGCCCACCCCCCACCCTTCGGGATCAGCACACTGTCCAGAGCCAGACGCTGCAAACTACCCCATAATTGGCATATGAAATCCACCCCCCACCCTCCCTCCCACACATCTCAAATCATTTTCCATATGCATCTGCCGGCAGCAAACAAACCCCCAAAACAACCACAAAAACAACAAAAAGAGGGAGAGTGCAAGTCGCTTCTTGGCTTGTAAAAAGAGAAATGAATCCCCCACTCCCCTCTCAGTAACAAGAAAGGCAGCACTCACAGCTCGGTGCATTTTGGACATCAGCAGTGAAGCCTGGTGGATTCCAAAGCAGAGCTAAAAGAAGAGAGCCATCAGACGGCCTTTCTCAGCACTGGTTGCACAGCATACAAGATCATGTTTTGATTACAAAAGCCTCGTCTGGGCTCCCAGCCAAGAGCATTGGCTGCCTAATATACCAAGCACAGACAGGGTATTTGAGTGAGCGCTTGTGTCCTCTCGACTCTTACTCTCTTTTTAAAAGAAACACCCCCCTCCTGTTTCCCCCAAGACTTCCTTTTACTTCCCGATGCCATAACCCCATATAGGAACATGTAAACTTTGGTGAACAATAAAAATGGATTCAGAGACACCCTGACTTCACTACATAGCTAGTTATGGGGACATGTTATTTGTTCTGCAGGACTGTTTGAATGGCTGGCAGGTATTCATGAAAGTAGCCTTGGGTCTGTAATGCTTCATAATTCTAGCATGAACAATCCTTCATCCTAAAATTTGTACTGGGCATGTCCTATTTTGTATTTGCTTGTTAGTATTCATTCCTCTTTATTTTCCTGCTTAAAATGTTTATTTCATCCAATCGGGGAGCAGAAACAATACCTTACGGCATACATGACAAAGCATACACCACAAATATTGGAAAGCCCACTGTCAAAGTAAATTTTTTTTGAGTAACACAGGCTGAACATTGTCCATCCAAATGACTCCACAAATCATTGCAAATGATAAAAACATTTGCTGAAACTGGGATTGATTCTGAAAGGACTGGTTCTAAAAGGATTTTCATGCCGCAAAAACGCCTGCACTTGCCAGTGATAATATTGGTACTGAATAATCTGACCAACTCTAAGAACAAGTCAGAAGACAGAAGAAATCGGGGGTTGAGGCAGGGAGAAATTTTTCCTGCTCACATTTTCCCCTGACATGAATAGCTGTTTTAGCCTCTTGAAGTGGGAGTCAGAGAGAAAAGGTCAGAGGTATTGTGATAATGATGGAAAATTCTTGCCACTTCCCAATTCACATATTGGCAAAAGCAGGTAGATGGCTACTGAGCCTTTGTTCTCTGAGGCAGCCATTCTGCGCATCAGAGTGTATTAGAGAGGCCCTCATGCTGATATCTGGGATACTTCCCATCCCCACTCTACCCCTTCCCTGCTGGCCTGCACTGAAAATATTATTTCAACCTCATGTCCCTGAGCATTTTCTCTGTCCGCCCTGGGCACCAGCAGCTGTTCTCTCTCTCTCTCTCTCAATGATCTTGACCTGGCTTGAATCCTTAAGACCCACCAGAGAAGGAAGGACTATTTTGATTTGGTTTTATTTTTGTTTTAATAGTCAAGCACTATTTTTTTTTTCCATAAAATCTTCAAGTCAACCTTGAACACTTACGAGTTGCCACAAGGTACTCATGCTTTATGCTATAAAAGGGAGGCCCCACTCCCCACCTCAAACAGGTTCCTTGAATACATGTTGAGTGGTTCAGAGACACGATGAAGTGAGAGTGTGTCCCGTACTCACCTGCATGTTGATTCCATACCCCATGATGTCAATGGAAAGACTTCAGTTGTTTCTAGTGGCATTTGAACCAGGCCTCTAGCCTGTGCATATTCATAACTTGCAAATTAGAGCTAAGGCTAGAGTAGAGCAGAAAGAATGGTTTAGTAACAGGACTTTGAGGAAAACAGCCATGTGACTGATTATGGGAATCATCTCCAATCCACAGCAAAGACAATGGTGCCTGTAAATTCCGGCTTCCAAAAACAGGGGGAAAAACAGAGGGATCTGCTAAGGTTGCAGAAGATGCTGTTGAGATAAAGGAAGTAAAAAGCCACATGTTTACTGTAGCCCAAGTGCCCTCTAGCTGAGGAGATTGAGGGAGGTGTGCAGCTCTGCAGAGCCTTTTCCCTTCCCTGATCAGCTAAAGCTGAAAAGGGCAGTGCTGTTCTGTGACTCTTTAGGGTCCAGTTGGCAATTTGAGATTGGCTGCTGATTGGTGGGAAGGGATGCCCTTTGAGAACCATGATAGGGGCAAGAGAGGCTGGCAGGAACTGTGGGACTCCCAGCAGTGACACAGGCAGTGACAAAGACAGCCAAAAACTGCTGTGTATACGGGTAGTGAGCATATGAAAGGGTTGTGAACATAGGTGGCAGAAGGGGGGGACGGACTAATGGGGCTTAGTCCCCCCCC